CACTCAGGATTTCCATGATTGTGGAAGGAAAAGGATCATAAAAGTGCTCTCAGCAGTCTTGAAAACAGGAACATAGTTAAACATTTTGAGTACTGAAACTCCTAATGACTTTTCTGCAGTGTGATAGGGCTATTTCATTCCCTGCCCATGAGCTCCTAATTTGAGGGGATACAAACCTCTGTCAAACAGGTATTGCTAAACACATTGATTTATGAATCTGTGGCCATCTTATAAAAGAGCAGTCCTTAAACAGCTTGATCTGAAAAGTTTCCATCCACTGCTGATACTGATCTGACACATTTTCAGGGGGAATTTCATGACACCCTTGAAGTGGTCTGTATGAGGGCACAGAATCCAGCTCCTTGTAATGGCTGGCTGGCACAAGACCATACCAGCAGCAACGATGCTCTAGGGAGGAGGCAACAAGGCAAACCCTCAGTTACAGCCAGCCAAACAGTAATGACTGGCTGGCACAAGACCATACCAGCAGCAACGATGCTCTAGGGAGGAGGCAACAAGGCAAACCCTCAGTTACAGCCAGCCAAACAGTTAACTGCATTCATTTTAACAGATACTTCAGAAAAAAGCAAGGTGTTTTCCTAAAGAAACCAGTCCACTTGCTATGCTTCATTCATTACTGTGTTTCCTGCTCCAGGCCACACCTCTGCAGCCTGGATTGGAAAGAAAAATGGAGAGTCACATCTTATACTCACTAAATTGTTCTGGCTGTTGCAACAGGTTCATTTTGGTGGAAAGGTGAAGAGCTGAGCTGAGGTTGTATCAAAACAACTACCTGACTCAGTCTTCTGGTGCAAGAATAATGAAAAGCAATATGTTCTTATGTCAGCCTGCAAAAATGATTACCTGCTGTGTACATCTGAGGAGGTGATACATTGATTAAGACAACATCATTATTAACTCATTGATTTAGTGCTTCGATTTCCATTGTGACCTTGATTTGATCACTGCTTCGTTTATTAATAACCAATTCAAAAGTAACAATGCGTTCACTAATGAAGTTTATTAGTGTGTTCACTTGCTTACTAATAACAACTGTCCTAAGGCTTGAACTCTTACCAGTTTGCTTTTCCTGGTTAGAATATACATCTCAAACTCCAAGAAACAGCTACTGATCTACATGAGAGCTGTCTGGCTTTCTCCAAGTAAAAGTTTAATCCTTCACTTGCATTTAAAACCACACACACACAAAAAATGAAACATCAAATTAACTTGGCAGAAAACAGTCCTTTCTTATGAAATCTGTTTGTGAAGTTTCACAAAAGGACACATTTACAGCTGGGTTATAAATCCTGTGACCATCCTGACAGGCCATTTCCTGGATCAATTGCAATATCCAAGGAAAAAACCCAGACATTATAGATATTTCAGCTTTTTATAAGGGCCCTGGTGTTATATAATCCTTACCATTCTGTGATGCTCTTGTGTGCTCTAATTACAGAGGTTTCAATATCGATCGGATGGTATCTCATTCCTCGTAATTCCATGGCTTCATCTAATGCACCCACAACATAAAGTGCATCATGGCGTTCTAGTTGTAAGGGGAAAAAAAAAAAATTAATGGTTCTATTCTCCAGTACATTAAATTACAAAAATGTTCACATTAATAAATAAGTAAAATAAGTATAACATAAGTTATCCTCAAATTTCTGAAACCCCAAAGTGATTTCTGAACTAATGAGCATTTTCCATTACTGAAGTGCAATGCAGAACAGAAAGCAGAAGAAAGGAAGGCAGAAACACTATTCCTGTTTGACTAAGACAAAGGTGGAAGCCTTTATCCAAAGACAGTAGCATAAATTCATGTTTTTCTCCCAGGTGGATGCAGAACAGACTCATTTGTCTTTTAAGGCACTGTAAATAGACAACAGGCTCCTGGTTAATCTCTCTCTCTTTTTGGTTTTAAAGAGAAAGGATGGATTTGATCCTAACAGTATGTCTGATATTCTTCCAGTAGCTTTGAGATGGTCAGTACAGATGTCTTCAGTGTATTACAGAGGTGTTTATCAACAAACTAAAAATACATGCTTTATGCCAGAGAGCAAATTGCTCATTCAGGCAAATGACATGCTCTGGAGTGTAATGCTCTTATAGGAGAGATTTCTACCTACGAAAGAAAGAAATGAGGCTGAAATTGCACTTTTTAAAAGATGCTAGGCTGAAAATAAACAGCTGCGTGCTATTCATAAAAAATATCATTTGCTAGTAGACTCAAAAGCAGATAACTGGCTGTTTTTACTTTAATTTAGATAGTTGCATGGTGGCATTGTGATGGCAATATACCATTAATAAAGGGCTGAGATCTTTCTGCACTGGGAGCTAATAGTAGGAGGAGAATGGGGTAACTCTTGGCCAGTAGAAGCTTTAAGCCATTAAAATGCTTAAGTTGCAATATCCTCAGAGGACCCTGAATTTTCTCAAGGTTGGACTATGATTATGAAATGAAAAAAGGCTGTGCAACCCGAAGTAAATCTCTTCAGAAGATGCTAACATAAGGACACGGCAGCAGGCGTAATCCACAGTGATTACTAAAATACTTTGGGATTTGATGAATCCCATCTTTGGCTGATTACTGGCTGTTCTAATAGCACTGCCACTGGAGCCCTGGGATCACTCCTGAAGGTGCTAGAAACCCTTCTTGGCCAACAGCCCTGACTGGCCAGTTCAGCCACTACTGCTTGTGGCACTGTGCTCTGCAAAACCCATGGAAATGTAACATTTTCCCAAGCAGATTTTGTGTGCCTGGCAGTGCCTGTTCATTTATATGTGCACATGAGATAAGAAGTCTCGCTAAAACAAGTCAGGAAATCCTGTACCTTCCTGACAGAAACCCAAATGCCTCACAGCTTCTCCTGCACTCCTGCTTGGGTTCTATTTCAGTAACCAGCCCTGCAGGTTTAGAGACAGGGAAATCTGGGAAATGGACAGCATCTGTGAATGGGTTTATAACAGAGGAATTACTGGAGGAAGTGGTGGTCACAGGAGGGATGGGGTTCAGGCTCCCAACAGGCTTTTTCTACCTGCACAAATGCATTCTTGTGGACACAACTGCCAGAGCAAATAATGGCAGTTTCAGCTGCATTTCAGATTTTTCAAGCTAAAGCACTGAGCACATTAACAGTGCCAAAAGGTCACTGGTGGAGGGGATTTATAGCACCCGGGGAACAGCAAAGGAAAAGCAACTATTTCAGCAGGGAAATCTTGCCCTCTATTTTATATTCTGATTCATTTAACTATGGCATTTTTTCAGTTCTACAGGTTTCACAGATTGAACATGTCAGATAGCACACTGTCAGCCCCAAAAGAACACAGATTATTTGCACAGACCTAGATGATGAGAAACCTCTTACCTCCGTTGGCATCTGTGAGTTCTGTTCTTCTCAGGAACCCCAGATAGCCAGTTCGAGCCCAAATAGTTTGTGTGTCTCCAAAGCTGAGTCTTGAATTAAAATGATCTGATTGCAAAGATTCATCTCCATAGATGGTAAAATACCCACTGGCATTGTGAGTGCTGTGAACCCATATCTAAGTTAAAAGCAATTATACTGGTATTAATTAAAGTAACTTTTGAGAATGAAGCATTATTGAAAATTCTTGATGCAAATATTTTTAGTCATTGCTAGATAATACTGTAAATGCCTTTTAATGCCATTTCTGAACCCATAAGTGAACCACTTGTAGGCACAGAGACCCCAGTCTCGCTAGATAATACTGTAAATGTCTTTTAATTGGCATTAATTAATTGGCATTCTGAACCCATAAGTGAGCCACTTGTAGGCACAGAGACCCCAGTCTAATCCTGTTGAAGTGGGAGGTGGATCCGAGCCGTGCCAAGGGGAGAGGGACACTGGTCTCATGGTTACAGGGACACCCACCTTGCAGCCCTCTGGCCCCAGGTTAGCCAAAGACCTGCACAGACTCCAGGAATGGCCCAGCTCACTCTGAGATCTGCTTGGTTGTGGCAATTTTTAGAAGAGCCTACAGACCACACTGCTCTTTCCACAGTCCCCCCTGCCTGGGTCAGTGTATTCACTCCAGCAGAGCATCCTCCGTGAGTACCAGAAACACAGATTATATTAACAGGTGAGGCCAGTGACCTTCACCTATGGAGAAGGATTCATTTCATCTAACTCAAGGCATCATGGAAATATTTAGGATTTCAAGTTAATGAAATCTTACAGAAACTCACAAATTAGATTGTAGTTTTAATTATGACTAAACAAATTCTTAATTTTGCTAATTATTTTTAACTCCTAGAAAGCAATTTTTTTTCTTACTCCAGAAACATAAAATGAATTTGAGAAATATATAGCCTTGCTCAGCTCAGGTAATGAGAGCACTTTAATGCAATGAAGCACAATGATCATAGAGAACAGCATCAGGAAACCACCTAGCTGAAACTAGACTAATCAATAAACTTATTTTTCATGCAAATTTTCATCAGAACTAGTGAAGCCCCAAGTATAAAATACAGTTGGCAAAAGCTGATTTTTTTCATTTTTTTAAACTTGAGCTGTTATTAGTATCTAGCAAGTATGTTACCAACAATTTTAATAATGATGCAAATATCATGTTCCACACTTTACAGACAATAAAGATCAATAGAATTCACTATTTTCTTAACTATGGCATTGGATAAGACATATTATAGGAAATTATTAGCATGCACAACAATAGCTTTATCTCTGCAATTTATTTCAGAGCATACAAAGCTCAAGTTCTCATGACTCACCTCACCAAGATGAGAATCTCCTAGGGGTCCCTTTGTTTCTGGATTAGCAATAATGATACGTACTCCTGGGAGGATCTATTGAAAGAAAAAGAGGCAGTGAGAGAGCAGGTACCAGCTTATGCAACCATGTGCTGACTCTGTGGCCCCAAAGAACCTTCACCAGAAACTAGAAGAAATCCTTAAAAAGGTTAAAGTGGACTTATAACATAAAAAAATCAAAATAGCCCAGAGGTATAATAAATTCTGAGGTATCTGGAAAATGTAACAAAACTTCTCCTTGTGAAAGCTGCTTTATCAATACAAACCCCTCAGAAATCAAACGATTACCTTATCGTTTGATACAAAGGGAGGAAGGGAGGAAGGGAGGGAGGAAGGGAGGGAAGGAGGAAGGGAGGAAGGAAGGAAGGAAAAGGAAGGAAGGAAGGAAGGAAGGAAGGAAGGAAGGAAGGAAGGAAGGAAGGAAGGAAGGAAGGAAGGAAGGACGGAAGGAAGGAAGGAAGGATGGGACAAGGAAAGAAGAAAGGGAGGAAGGGAGGAACGAGGAAGGGACAAGGAAAGAAGGAAGGGAGGAAGGGAGGAAGGAAGGAAGGAA